AGAGAGATCCTTGGAGAGATGTCCCTAAGTCTCTAAGTACAAAGATTTCGGCATGTCACTGCTATCATCTGGAGCCACAGGATATGTGTGAAATCGTCCAAGAAGGAAATGGAGATAGAATGAGACACACCGTGGAAAGGAAAGGCATCCTGTCCCAAGTCACTACCTTAATTAGGACTTCAAACTTGACAGTACTCATTTATTCACTCAGCGCCTACCCGGGGGAGGTGCTGTAGGGACCTTCACTAAGTATTCCGTGGGCTGCTCATGGAAAAAGCAGAACCTGATTTGGAACTGTTGCAAGTAAAGCAATGCAATGCTTGTGGATGAGTCGCTTAGTACCCTGCCTGCCAAAGCTCACCGTGTGCCGCTTGTCTTTCCTGAGAATCACGGAGGGCTGCCCGCTGCAGCACAGAGCTCCTTCCCAGACTCAGCAAGGCCATTAGCAGAGGCCCCAAATGCTTATATGGAAAGTCATGCACCAACCCAGGCACAGCTATCTACCTGTGCCATCTGCTACCCACACCCCAGGGTGATGGACCAGTCTTAAACCTGCTGTAGGAACACTGTCAGAGAGGCCAGTACTCGGATACCTTCCCTTTTCCAAGGGCAGTTTGTTTTTGATGTATGTGCACTACGGACTAATTGCAGTCAGATGAAGCCTGTGGAATTGCTCAGAGAGACTTGTAAACACGAGTGAGATGCTGCCGGGCTGAAATGCAGTGACCTCATATTTTATAGATGAATACGTATTTCTATAACGATGCTCAGGCAGGATCTAACAGCAGATCTGAAGAGGAAGAAAACCCGAGATGTCTAAGTGATAAGTAAAGCATCCATTTGTCAAGGTGTCTCTTCCAGGTATAATGTGGTGTGAACATGTCGGTGATTTCTACTGGTGACATAATCCTGGGTACAGAAACACTCAGGGATGATTCAGAGTCCTTAGTGTGGGGCTGGAGGGATGCCTCGGCAGCCAAGAGCACTTACCGCTCTTGTGTAGGACCTGGGCTTGTATGTGGGCACCCACACAGCGGCTCACAGCCATCTGTAACTCCAGTTCCGAGCAGCCAGTGCTCTCTTCTGGCCTCCCTGCGCACCGTACACACATGGTGCGCATGTATTCGTGCAGGTGCACACACATACTAATGGAATACTAAATAGTTACCTTGTAAAAACCAAATGATACATTGTAGTTAAAGGTGAGAGAAGCTGAGGCCCTTTGCTCATTAAATTCAATGGAGCCCAGGCTGATAATATTTGCTAATATAAAAATAGAGCCTCATTTAAAGAAATGACCCTTCAAGAAATTCTATCCAGAGCCATCTCTAATTTTATGTTGTATAAAAACCTTTCCATGCAAACTAGTCATACTAGTTTCACAAGTATAACTTGAGTCACCGTATGTATGAGGCCCTGTGGCAGGCTGCTGAGTTCTCTCTCATGCTAGAGCCTTTTATCCTAGCAGGAAAAAAAATGCCTACTTAGGGGTAGTTACCCACTGTGGTTCAGATTTGAGAACGAGAAATAGTCTCCATGCTGGTGGTGTGGCCCTTTAGACGCCCTACCCCGGAAATGACGGAGTGGCTCAGCTGTTAAGAGCTCGGCTGCTCTTACAGAGGACCAAGCACCCTTATGAGGGTTCACAATGGTCCCTAACTCTAGTTCCAGGGGGATTCAACACTTTCTTCTGGCTTCCTTGGGCACCAGGCATGCATGTGGTGTGCATGCATTCATGCAGGCAGTCAGACACATAGAAGGACAAATCAATGATTTGTATCAGTGAGCAGACAGTCACCATGTACTTGCTGTAGCCTCCAATAAAGACAGGCACTGTACCAAATTGAAAGGTTACTTAAAGCCATTCTTCATGGGCTCTGACCAGTGTCACGGATGTGACATTTAGAGACACTGTAGCACAAGGCTTAGAGCTCTGTTCCAATAGAGCTTGTTGCAAGCATTAGCTTGCTTATTGCCGGAGTCAATCTTAGGAAATTAAACACTCGGAACTTCGGCTTTCCCCTCTGGGACTTGGGTCTTAAAATAATAGCCATTTGTACCCTGCAGAGTTAGTTCTCTTGCAATTAAGTATAAGAATTATGTAAGTCCCGTGAGCCCAGCCGACACGTGGCCTGTGCTCAGTTTGGGGTTCTCACTTGTTTTGAGGGTTGGCAGGGAGAAACACATTCTGTGGCTTTCTGGGCCACGGAGACCCCTGTGTGTGCCCACCTGCAACTCCAATAGAGAAGCCAGAGGCCAGCGTGGTGGCGTGCCTGGGCGGCTCTTGTTTAGATCCAGCCACATCCCAAAGCTTCCTTCCGGCCTAAATTGTTATTGTGACTCCCTTTGCCTCCTCTTTGAAGTTTCTAGATTGACAGATGTTATCCAATCACTCCACACACGTGCAACTTTATGTGTAGGTTGGAGGGGAAAAAAAAAAGAAAGAAAAGGTCACAGGAAACTGTAGGGGAAAGTGAAGCTTTGGTTTCTAACCTTAAACCAGGGGATTTCTAGAACCTTCTGCAGTCAACGCCACATATTAATTTCAGTTTGGATGCTTGCCTCAGACTTAGAAGACATAGAAATGAGCAAGGAGGAACTTTCCTGTAAGTAATTATAAACTGATCAGTAGCAAATGAACAGTTCGTGCAATGCATTGGAGACACAGGTCATAGTTAAAATTCTGGATCGTATTTTCTTATATGAGGAAACGAATATTCACAATAGACCAAAAATAAAGTCTCTCCTAATCCTCCCAGTGTATTACAGGGTACTAAAAATGACATTTATAGGATAGGGTGCTGCTTTTTTTCTATAAAAATAGTACCAGATAGTAAATATTTCTGGCTTTGTGGAGCAGAGCTGACCTTTATTGCAGGAAGGTCTCTATTGAGAGCATCCACAGAAGGCTCCTCTCCCCTTCCCCACCTCCTCTGTTTAACAACTATTGAGAGTGTGGGGCTGTCCTGATCACGAGACTGTACAGAAACTGACTAAATCTGCCTGCCTTAGAACATAAGGCAGGATTCATCTAACAGCACACACATAGGAATTCATGGAAGTGACCTGGCCTCTGTTGGTTGCCAGTATATCCCTGTGGTACCAGATGACCTGACCATTGCCCATGCCGCGTTTCCATAGCCCTGAGAGGACCATTTGGCCAATGGACCAAACAGTTGTTTGGCTTTTGTTTTGTTTTTTTTTTGAGATGGGGTTTCTCTATCTACACAGTCCTGGCTGTCCTGGAACTCACTTTGTAGACCAGGCTGGCCAAATAGTGTTATGGTAAGGGGTCTCATGTAGAGAGCTGAGACAAGCAAGCCTTCCCTTGCAAATATGTCCACAGGGAGCAGGGATACAGGCTCTGATTTGCTGTGACCCCTAAGTAATATCTCATCTCTATCTTTAATTTTGCCATCAAGGAATTGTTTTGTGTGTGTGTGTGTGTGTATGAACTGTCATAGTCTGTCATCACCACTGCCACATTGGATAGCTCAAATTACCCTATAACTCCAGCTCCAAGTGATCTGATACCGTATTTGACCTCTGCGGACACACACACACACACACACAGACACACACACACTTACATGCACTTAAGACATAAAATAGTCTTAAGGAATTTATGTTTTGAATGCTTCATTACCAATTATATATCTTTCCCTATATTTTGAAGATCTAGTTTTCTTTTATTGTGTATACATGTTGCCAATGAAGGACAGAAGAGGGTGCCAGACCCCCTGGAACTAAAGTTAGGGACCTTGGAAATTGCCACGTGGGTGTTGGGAACTGAATCCAGGTCCTCTGCAAGAACAGCAAGTGTTCTTAACCACTGAAACACCTCTCCAGTCCTCCTTTTTTTCCTGTTTTCAAAGTGCATTAGTGTATCTCTTTCAGAGAACTGTGTTATTCCCCCCACCAACTTTCTGGAATCCTAAAGTTTCAGTACTTTAATTTTGAGTGGTAGGATTCTGGCCTTGGAGTTTAGTCAGTGGGTTCAACAAACATTTCATTAAAAGGTGGAGTCATATGGAACCATTTCTGCCCATTCTCCCTTCCCTTAACTCCCTGCAATGTCTCTTAAGTGACTGTGTCAAATGCCAGTTAGGTCCCAAGTTCCCTTTGAGACTCCTTAGTCGTCTTCCTAGCTACCTGGCTTGAATACTCACTGCTCCCCTGGCCCCAATAACTGAAGTAGCTAAGTATTATTGGTTGAATAATTACAAATCTCCCGACTTTTCTTGGAGAGTGGCGTTTAGGCTGAAGTTTGAAGAGCAGGAGATGTGGATGCGGATGACCTCAGACAAGGGTTGTTTTTGCTCCTTCCCGGCTCCCACCTGCTCTGCTTCACATCCAGGCCACTCTGGCATCAGCTCTGTGTCTGAGTGATAAGGAAAGGCACGGAAGTGTTCTCTGGGACGCCTTTTACCTTATGTCAACTCGATATCTGTGTATGTGCATGAGTGCATGTGTGTGTGTGTGTGTGTGCACATGTGTGTGTGCACATGTGTGCATGCTCACATACATGTATTTATGTCTGCAAGGTACACAAGTATGCAAATGTGTACATGTGGATGCTAGTGGATTTCTTAGGAGTGACATGTACCCTTTTAGGGACAGGGTCTCTCACTTAACATAAGACTCACTGAATTGTCTGGACTGACTGACAAGTGAGCCTCAGAGATCCATCTGACTCCATTTCCCCAAACCTGGACTTACAAGCATGTGCATTTTTACATGGGTTCTGGAGGTTTAGCACAGGTCCTCATGCTTGCAAGGCAGGTACCTTACCGACTGAGCCATCGCCCCAGTTCCCCTCGGATCGTATCTACTGTGGTGGTTTCACCGTGGGGAGGGCATGGATGGTGTGCCAGTGTGTAGCATCACTCTAAGAATCACTAGCTAGTATCCATGAACACAGTTCATGGTTGTAGATTTGCTTCCTAGTGGCTCACGCCTCCCAAACCTAATCAATCTCTCCTGCCTTGTCTCTATATCAGAATATACCACCAGCAGTCCTGACCTGTTCCTGGTCATTATCCAAGTGACCGGCGTCAGCCTCCTGCCTCCGCTGGGAATCGCCATAGCTGTGATCGTCATCTTCTACTGCTATCGTGTCCATCGGCAACAGAAGCTGAGCCCATCCTGGGAAAGCAGCAAGTCACGGAAGCTCATGGAGTTCAGTGACAACTGCGCCATCATCCTGGAGGATGACCGATCAGACATCAGCTCTACGTGTGCCAACAACATCAATCACAACACGGAACTGCTGCCCATTGAGCTGGACACACTGGTGGGGAAGGGCCGCTTTGCAGAGGTCTACAAGGCCAAGCTGAAGCAGAACACTTCAGAGCAGTTTGAGACCGTGGCCGTCAAGATCTTCCCCTATGAGGAGTACACTTCCTGGAAAACGGAGAAGGACATCTTCTCCGACATCAACCTGAAACACGAGAATATCCTGCAGTTCCTGACGGCTGAGGAGCGGAAGACAGAGCTGGGCAAGCAGTACTGGCTGATCACGGCGTTCCATGCCAAAGGCAACCTGCAGGAATACCTTACAAGGCATGTCATCAGCTGGGAGGACCTGCGGAAGCTGGGCAGCTCCCTGGCCAGGGGCATCGCTCATCTCCACAGTGACCACACCCCGTGTGGGAGACCCAAGATGCCCATCGTTCACAGAGACCTCAAGAGCTCTAACATCCTCGTGAAGAATGATTTGACCTGTTGCCTGTGTGACTTTGGGCTGTCCTTGCGCTTGGACCCCACTCTGTCTGTGGATGACTTGGCCAACAGTGGGCAGGTGAGTGAGTGAGAGCTCATGTTCCAGCCCCTGACCTCATACCTGGTCTCACCTCTGCCTTTCTGTAATTTTTAAATTAGGTGTGTGTGTGTGTGTGTGTGTGTGTGTGTGTGTGTGTGTTCACTTACCCAAGCATACCTGTATGGAGACCAGAGGTTGACATCAGATGTCTTTCTTCATTACTTTCCACCTTGTTTTTTGAGGCAGAGCCTCTTACTGAACCCAGAATTCACTGATTGGTTAGACTGGTGGGCCAGTGAACTCTGGAGTCATAGTCTCTCAATCCCACTCCAACCCAGAGGCACTGGGATTACAGAAGTAAGACAGTGTGCCTGGCTCTTGCCTGGGTATTGGAGATCTGAACTCAGATCCTCATGCTTATGCAGCAAACACTTGATCCATTGAGCCCTCATTTATAAACTCATCAGCACGCTATATATGTTCTACAAAGTAATGGGCTTTGTTATGACATTTCCATCCATGCATATAGAGAACTTCAAACGATGCCTTGGAAGAACATCTTCCTATTATCCCTTTTCTTCCCTGCCCCCCCTCTCCTTCCATATCTCTAATAAGCCTCCGCCCCCCCTCCCCTTACTTCCATTTTCTTCCCATCTTGTAAATTTCACACAGGATAGACAACACTCGATATGTCTTCCTGAGCCTGGCTTATTTCACTTAACATGGTGTTCTCCAGATCCACCCATTTTCCTGTAGATGCCATCTTCTTATTCTTCTTTACATCTTAATAAAACTCTACTGGGCATGTGTGTCACACATACACATGTATGTCAGCCCAGGCTGACAACATAACTTGGCTATTTTCAACTTCCCTCTTGATCCCCCACTCACCCTCTTGTCTCAAGGAGCTCTATATTATAGGATTTATTTAGGGAATCTAGATAATTAGTCCCCATCAGTCCCAAACATACATAACCCACGGTCTTTCGACCAGGCACCTCTGTTAACAGATAGCATTGTCCCTCCCTGTCTTCAAACTCCCGGTCAGCTGTTGTCCTCCTTCCTTCTGCAAACGGCTTTCTTTCTTTCAGGAACTGATAACATCTTACCTCTATCTTTTCCTCTCACACAGTTGTTCTAGACCCTTTCTGCTGTCCAGTCTCGGTGCTTATATTGGTTTCTAGACTCCAGAAGGAGACCAAACCCAAAGTCTCCAAATCCACACTTAGGAGGCTACCAAAGATACCCGGCACAATGCCTCAGGCAGTGTAGGTGACCAATAAGTATTTGTTGAAGGAGTGAAGAGTTCCATTTGTGGTCTGTCTGTCTTTAATTCTGTGTGTGCACTGACACATATGTGCACCTGCACGCGCGCACACACACACACACACACACAATATATATATATATATATATATATTTGTATGGAGCCCAGATATATTCCTCTATTGCTACTTTCTGTGAGACAAGGCCACTTACTGAAACTGGAGCTTTCCAGTTTGGCTAAGCTGGATGGATAGACAGCTCCAGGAGTCCTCCTGTCTCTGCCCGCCCCCCACATACACTGGTGGAATTACAAGCCTGTGCCACCACCACCACCTTTGGTTTGGATGCTGGTGACTGCAGTGCTGTCCTCCTGCTTGTGTGGCAAGCTCTTTGCCGACTAAACCATCTTCCCAGCCCGATGATTCCATTTTTGAAGCATTGCCCCAGGTCCAAATGGAAACCCTTTGGTGAAGGCATGTTTGGAGGATTTCTTTCCCTGGGGACAGCTCAGGATAACACAGTGGGTCCATCCGGGGCACTGCTGCTCTCTCCAGCTCACTAATGGGGCATACTCCAAAATGCGAAATGAACCGAGCTTGTGAAGTTTCTGCCTTGTCAGCACTCCGTCCATGGCGTCACATGCAGTGTGGAGGTCACCAATGCTCTGTCCATGGTGTCACATGCAGTGTGGAGGTCACCAATGCTCTGTCCATGGCAGCAAATGCAGTGTGGATGTCACTAGCGCTCTGTCCATGGTGTCACATGCAGTGTGGAGGTCACCAATGCTCTGTCCATGGCAGCAAATGCAGTGTGGATGTCACTAGCGCTCTGTCCATGGTGTCACATGCAGTGTGGAGGTCACCAATGCTCTGTCCATGGCAGCAAATGCAGTGTGGATGTCACTAGCGCTCTGTCCATGGTGTCACATGCAGTGTGGAGGTCACCAGAGCTCTGTCCATGGCAGCACATCCAGTGTGGAGGTCATCTTGCTGAGACATAAATTAATGTGTCAGGACAATGACTCATAGAGCACTCCATTAAAAAGAAAAATGTCTTCTAAGATATGCCAATAAGAACTATTCTTTGGAACAATGGCACATTATTTGATCTCTGTATGACAGGACAGTGATTGACATTGGATGAACTTGTATGTTCTGCAGTAGCAGACATTTCCATTTGAAAAACTTCCCTTAGAAATAGCTTTCCCCTTTCCCTGTGGACCTCCTGTTTGTTTAATGTCAATCATAAAATTGATCACAAGCCTAAATAATCAGAATGCAGCCACACATCACATTCATGGAAATTATGGTATGATTTGGTCTTTTCACAAGGCTTTAATTTAGCAGAGATTTATGAAATTATGTCATACGGGCCATGGAGTAAATTAAAATTAAATGGTCCTGAAGTGACCCATATGGGTGGCTATTATTTTCCATGGGTTTTAGAATTTCAAGAATGAAAAAAATCTTAATTTGCAAAATCAAATATAAATACAAATGGCTTAGGAACTAAGGGCACTTGCTGCTCTTAGGGAGTGTTTGACTAGGGGTTTTGACCAAGTTTCTTTTCTCTGGCAGTTAAAGAATTAAAGGTAGGAAAAGGCCTTGAATGGTGTCTGTGGAAGAATCTCAAACAGCAGCAAACAGGGTCAGAAAGAGTCAGCAATTGAAGAAAGGTGTTTATTGGATTGAAGAGACAGACATGCAGCAGACACATAGAGAAAAGGCAGCAGAGCCTAGAGGGACGAGGAAACTGAAAATCCAGACTCTTCTCGAGGCTGGGGTTGATCTTCTCGGAAGGGTCTTCCTCCCCTGATTTCAGGTCGGTCAGTTTGTAGACAGTTAGAATGGCTGATTGCCTCAAATGTTACACACCACGTCCTGATCAGGCCTTGAACTTGGTGACCCTCTCCATCTGGAGACACAAAGCCCAGGAGGTCTTTGTTTTAAGCTGCCAGGATTTTGTACCAGGTCACCAGGGTGAGGAAGAAGTCAGCCATTTTGGAAGTTCACAACCTTTATTACCTAGTGATAGCCTCTCTCACTGTCTGTCTGCCTTCCACGGACTCTGATTCTTGGTTCCTCCAGAAGACCTGGGTTTTGTTCCTAGCATCCATATAGCAGCTCACAACTGTCTGTAACTCTAGTTCCCAGGGATCTGATGTCCTCTTCTGGCCTCTGCAGACACCAGCCACACACGTGGTGCATGAAATAAAACTAAATAAACCTTTAAAAATATAAGCATCTAAAATATCATAGATGTGGCCCTTGGGGGCTATCTATAAGAATATTGGATGATAGGATGGCATATGCACTCACATACGTGTCTCTGGGCTGGGACACTTGTTTGAGCATGTTTTGTTTAGAGTCTTTGAAGAGTTTTCAGAGAGAGGAAATAATACTGTGTGTTGGGTCTGCCTGTGTAATTCTCATCATTTAAAACAGCCCTATGATTTTCTTAGAGGGAGCATCTGTACAGGGCTGGGCTGTAGCTCAGGCAGCAGAGTGCTTGCCTAGTGTGCCTGAAGCCCTGGATTAGATCCCTAGCACCCACATAAAGTGGCAGTATGTGTCTGTACTCTCAGCACTCTGCAAATGGAGGGGCAGTGCTTCAAGGTAATCACCAGCTAAGGAGCATGGGGCCAGCTTGGGCTGCATGAAACAGTGTCAAAAAAGAAGGAAGGAAGGAGGGAAGAAGGAAGGAAGATAGAAAGGAAGGAAGGAAGGCTAAGAAGAAGGAAAATATCATACCTGGAGCTGAAGAGCTGTTGCCAGTTAATGACTGCTGGGAGAGAGGGGAGAGGAGCCATGTGTCTTTAGTGGTATAGCCACTGCTAGTGACTCTGATCCTGGAAAGGCCCCACCAATGCCTTATGAGCAGCACTAATAAAATGCAATGGGTGGTTCAAAAAAGACATGGAAGTGGGTAGGGGACATATTATCAAGAATTGGGCAGCAAATAAGAGAGGATAATGGGAGTGAATATGATCAAAACACATCATATCCACGTATGACGTTGGCTAAGAGTACAAGATGAAACCCCTGGACACAAACATAAAATCATCTGCCTATGAGAAGCCCAAGCTCAAGTCCCCTGTGACAAATTCCGTCAAAATTAAAATTAAACTAGGAGCTTCATTCTCTCTGTGTGTGTTTTTTCTTTAGGTGGGAACAGCAAGATACATGGCCCCTGAAGTTCTAGAATCCAGGATGAATTTGGAAAACGTGGAGTCCTTCAAGCAGACAGACGTCTACTCCATGGCTCTGGTACTCTGGGAGATGACATCCCGTTGCAATGCGGTGGGAGGTACGTGCTTGGTCACAGTGCAGTTGATGGCGGGTCCCCATTCTAGACGATGTCATGGTGTCTGTTTCCAGCGTGGTTTCAGGGTTCCTCGCAGAGCAGTGGACTCCACACAGGGAGGCAGTAGGTCATGTCGTGTTATTCTAACTAGCCAAGGTTCCTAACTGAAAAATCCCATTAACTTTGCATTCCCCTTCATACAGCTGCATAGAATTACTTTGTCTCCATAGATGTTTTAATATCTTGCGGGAGGTGGTCACTAGAAGCAGGAATAAGAATGGCTTCTGTTTACCTAAAGGATAATAGTCAGTTGAGCATCTGCATGTTGCTTCTTCTCATTTGAGTTTACAGGACTGACAGAAATGCTTGAGTAAATATTTACTCCTGTAGACATGACTTCTTTATCACAAAACTAAGCAGGGTGGCTTGATATGTCTGTTTGGGTTTTAAAACGCTGGGGACACTTATTGAAGAAGATCGTTAGCTCCTAAGACTTCTCCTCTACCTTTCCTCCGGGAACCTCAGGGGTCCCCAGGGTCACCTGTTGCCTTCCCTCCCCTTTCTTTGAGCATTCTCCCTAAGCAGAGCGCCACAGCTCTCCCAGGTTCCCGTTCTCTTCTCTGCATGCTGTGTATCGACAATCCTCTCTGTTAGAGACTGCCTTAGGGTTCCCATCACTCTGATAAGATACGGACCAAAAGCTGGGGGCGGGAGGAATGCTTTATTTATTTCACCCTACACGTTCAGATGAACAGTCCATGTCTGGGGAAGTCAGGAAGCCCCTGAGGAACCTGAAGTGGGCAGCAGTATGAAGACCATGGCTTGCTTAGTCTGTTTTCTTGAGCTCTCAGGACAACCTACCTACCCAGGAGGGGAGCTGCCCCCAGTAAGCTGGACCCTCCAAGACCAATCATTAATCAAAAAGATGACCCCACAAATCAGTCTGCTGGGGGAATTTTCTCACTTGAGGTCCCTTTTTCCAAAAGGACTCTAGCTGTGTCCAGTTGACATAAAAGTAGCCAGCACAGAGGCTGCCATTGCCTTTACCTTGACAATATAGGTAAGAATGACCACCCCTTGAATGTTCTACTTCTGTTTTGTCTTGGGGGCACTGCTTCCAGATAGCCAGAAAGAAAGATTGATTGTTTTTCTACATTCTGTCTCCATTACCCATTCTCCACTCAGTAACTTCCATCAGGTCTCACCTGGAAAATGAGTACATCCTATTGTCCAGATGAAGTCAAGCTTGGCTTGATTCTTTCTGAAATTTTGTTTTATAATATTAGATTTACAAAATAGCATCAAGAAGAGCACAGAGAGCTAAGGAGATGGTTTAGTCGCTAAAGTCTTGCCACACAAACGTGAGACATGAGTTCAGATCCTAGGTAAAAGGTGGGTTTTGTAGAGGGTACCTATAATCCTAGTGTTGGGGAGACAGACACAGGAGGATGCCTGAGGCTCGATGGTCAGGCGGTTGACCCAAATTAGTTTGCTTCAGAATGAGAGAGACCCTGTCTAAAAATATAAAGAACAATGTCAACCTCTAGTCTACATACACACCGTCACAAACATCCATACACATATACAGAAAATTAAATAAAAAGATTAGCAGAGAGATCTAGATGTGTAATTCCAACACTCAAGATTTTAATGCAGGATGATTGAAGCAAGTTCTAGGTCAGTTTGGGCTATGTAGTAACTTACAGGCCAGCCTGGACTGTAGAAAGGATCCTATCCTAAACACACAAACAGATAAACAACCGTCACAACAACACAAATGCATAAATCCAGCCCTCTCACCCACCTTTAATTTAGTTTAAAATTTAGCCCAAGTGCAACAGAGAAGAAGCAATCTAACTGTATTAAAGCCAGGACATTAAGGTTGGCGCAGTGCTCACTTGTACTCCCGAGTCACCAGGAATGTTTTCCTGGAAGATGACTTGGGTTAGGATTCACATGGATCTAACTCAGGTGCTTCCAAAGTCTTCCATGACCTTGACACTTGTGAAGATGAAGCCAGCTCCTCAGAGCCTGGATCCCACTTGGGTGTTGCTGGTGTTTTCTCACCATTAGACTGATATGACATGTCTGGAATAAGAACACTGCAGACACTGTGGTAACTTCTCTGCACTTGGAACCAAGGGCAGGGTTGCTGGTGTCGGCTGGGAAGTCTGAGTACCAGGTTCCCCTCGGTAGATATGCCATTTTCCAATTGTAATGGGCACACACAGGGAAAATACTCTAGTTTGTAATCTCACCTGTTAATTTGGGGAATCTACCAAGAATTTCCCATTTTAAATGATTATCACTGTGATGTTTGCCTCTTGCAAATATTTCTGTTAATTAGTAGATATTTTACTCTGAGGGAATCCCTGAGTGTTCTTCCTCTCACTATCCCTTGGTATTTATCCATTATTTGTGCATTTATGTTATCTGGGGACAATGGGTATTTCTTACATTCTATGGATGTCCAATAATGTCATTACTTATTTTGATGCTCAAATAGTGACCTCTTTGGTTACTGACTTAAACTTGCTGACTCATTGTCCAAGGCCTTTCCAACTGGACCTGTTACTGGTTCTGAGTCTTCATCCCTTGCAGAAAATGTTTGACTCCCCAAAACCCCCAGGAGGATCTAGGTCACCTCTTCCTCATCCACAATTGAGTCACTGCCATCTATTTCTCTGGCCTCTGTGGAGATGGTGATTCCTATCTGGCTGGCACAATTCTCTCCTGGTTTCCTGCCTAAGGGGTCTTCTTCCACACTTCTAAAAGTTGTGTGTGTGTGTGCGTGTGTGTGTGTTTTCCTCACAGTTGAATTTGTTTAATCAACTACCAGCCATTGTAAATCATTTTCTGTTTGGAAGATTCGAGGACTACAACATGGCTCTGTAGATTGATAGGAGTCCTGTCAAAGACAATGCTGTCCCCGCCAGAGTCAATGTACCTGACTAGTGGTGTCCTCTCCCATGCTCTGGGGGGTGTGCTTCTATAAACAGCCCCTGAGATTGTGTCTGGTGTCCAGCTCTAACAAGGCAGTCAGCCTAAGGCTCTGGCCTGTTCTGCTTTCGTTGTCCTCACTGACGAGAGCCCTTTCCTGTTGATATTTGCTGAGTGAGGAAGAATCGAGGCGTATGAGGAAGAGCCAAGCTCACCAACTTTTATGGGTTCTAAAAAAAGCTCCGGGATAAACAAGTTTCCCTGTGGAAAGAACCAGGATCTGTTTTCGTCAGCTCATCTTAGAAAAACCATTTACAACCTCTGAGGTAAAAACAGGCAGGAACTGGACGGAGCCCCTCCTGGCGATCCTCTTTCTGATGGTAGCTTCCCACTCCCGGTTCTCCAGTCTCCACTCTGGCCGTATCCACCCTCGCGTGCATCACTAGACTTGAACTTGTGACGTCGGGCGGCATGTCCCTGACTGAGAATACATCGACCTCTTCTAAAAGTGTCAGATTTGTGTGTGCATGAGTGCTAGCGTGCCTGTGCACCTGTGGAGGCAGGAAGCCAAGCTCTAGTATCTTCCGCAGTACTTCTTCTCCACTTGGCTTTCTGAGATGGAGCCTCGCTGAACTTGGGCCTGTCTGAGTTGGCTAGGCTGGGTGGCCAGTGAGCCCCAGGGATCCACCTGCCCCTGCCCCTGCCCTGTCTTCCAGTACTGAGATTACAAGTGCATGCCATGATGATGGCGGGGGCGTGTCCCTTTTCCTTCTCAGGTCCCATCTCCATGCTGCGTGCTCACCCTGGGGCTCTCACTGCAAGCTCCCTTCCTGCCCCAGCTCCTCTTGCAAGCAACACTCTGGGACCAACGCTGTGGCATGGGCGCCCTGTAGTCAGGGGCTCTTCATGTAGAGTAACGACTGTTAAAGGGCACAGCAGAGGGAGACGGGGGCCAGATGTTCAGGCCAGGCTAAGTCAGTGGATGCCAAGATAGGAAGGACGGTGAGGGTGAGACCCAGTCTTGAGCAGTGTGGCTTGGGCGTCCCATTGTCATGCTCCTCTCACAGTCAGCCTGGACTCCGTGCAGAGCAGCCCAGGGGAGGGAGAGGCACACAGCCCATCCCTGGGGATGTTACCCTCAGTGTTACCAGGTAGACATTGTACACAGACGATAGAGTTCCTTCTGACGCCGAGTCTGAGCTTCCTTTAGCACGTAGTTCCACCACAGTGCTCCACAGACCATCATAGGGAGTAAGGAGTGTTCTGGAGAGGAAGCCGGTTTGGTCCAGGTTAAGAACAGCCTGGAGGAACCACGGGCAGCATCACCAAGGCAGTGGCTTCATCCATCAGTGCACCGGATCCCCCAAAATAGCATTTGGGGCATGCCAGTCGGCCTCCCTGAACAGATGAGAAAACCGGGTTCCAGGGGTCGGACAGCCATGGAGCCGGGAGCCCTGTGGCCACAGGTCTTCCCCTTCCTGGGAGAGTCAGCCTCACTGGTGGGGGACAGGGAAAATGAATGCCCAGAGTAGCATATGGGGGATCAGAGTCCTTCTGCACCTCCCACACTGGAGGCACAGCCCTTCAGAGCACTGGAGGAGGCAGGGTGGTACTCCTGAGGGACCTCACTTCTGAAAGTCTGCATCTCTGAGTTCTCCTGTCTCCCTTGATGAATTACTGAGTGTGTGTGTGTGTGCATATGTATCTGTGAGAGAGCTTGTGTGCATATGTTTGTGTGCATGTGTGTGTGAGAGAGACAGCGAGATAAAGAGAGGGGGGGGGGAGAGGGAGACAGGGAAAGAGAACTCCAGAGGCCAGCCTCTGGTGCTGTTCTCAGGCAATGTCCACTTTTTTTTTGAGACAGGATGTCTCATTTCCCTAGAACTCGCCAAGCCAAGTAGGCCAGATTGACCAGTCAGCCTCCCCAGGTATGCACCTGCCTCCACCTCCTCTGGAATGACAGGCATGTGCTGCCACACCTGGGTTCTTTAATTTTGCTTTCTTTTAATGAAATCCAGGTCCCTGTGTTTGCTAGGCAAGCATTTTACTGACAGTCCTCTTCC